AGGTGGCTAACCCGGAGCATATAAAGCTAAAAGTGGTGGACCAGGCTCATAATGAGATCCACTATCGGGTCAAAGTGAGCGCACAGTTCGCCAAACTCAAGAAGTCCTACTCGGAAAGGGCTGGTGTCCCCCTCCAGTCCCTCCGGTTCTACTTCGACAGGCGCCGTATCCACGACACGGACACACCGGCGCTCCTCTAGATGGAGGCCGACGACGCCATTGAGGTCTATGAGGAACAGGTTGGCGGTAATGGACAACACTTCCTGATGGTGTTCATGGTTTTGAGACACTCGGATGGTATGACTGGTTGAAGAACTACTGGTGCGATACATATCATACTATTTTGTAAATAGGCTTATAATGTGATAAAAAAGTTTGTGTTAATTACTGTATATAAAAGTTGGTGTGAATTGTGTCCGCACTTTGTTTTTTTGTATCAAATATTGTTTTAGATTTTGTTATTAAACTTTTTGGTATTCATTAATTATTTATTTATTTAAATATAATTATTATTTTTGTCACAAATTATATATAAATATATATATATACTTTAATATATTAATAAGTACATTGTGTTAAGCACCGGGATCACAGAATAGTACTCGCAATTCATACATTTATGCAATAGTTTTAAACTTTCACTACCAAACATTTATGAGTTTTTTTCTAAATAATTATACACTGGTCATACTCTATAGTGAAAATAATGTAAATTTTGCATTTCACACAACTCTATCCTTTTCATATGCAATATCCAGACTTTTTTCACTTTAATTACAACACAAAAAAGGCTTTTATAGAGCACTCAAAGATTTGGAGTCAAAATGTATTGCATTTCTTACAGTGCTATACAATAGAGACTGTCATTAAATGCATTGAATCTCTTATTAAGTGTTCAAAAGGCATTGCTTTTCAAACAATCAGTCTATGAGTGAGTGAATCACACATCGGATTAACCTTTGCTTTCATTTCACGCAATATTCACACAATTAATGTAAGTATGGATCCAATGATCACCACAACAAATGCCATCCATGGTTGATAACATGCCATACATCCCTCACTAATGGTATTCAACGTACGTATGATTAATACAGCGAAGAGAGGGTCGGTATCTCAGGGGACATGTCATCGGCGACGGGAACGGTAGACGGAGGGGCGGCTGCGGACTGGGAGCACATAGAGCTGAAAGTGTTGGGTCAGGACAGCCACGAGACCCGATTCCGCGTCAAACTCACCACACGGATGGGTAAACTCAAGAAATCGTACGCCGAGGCGAAGCGCCTACAGCTCCGGGAACTCCGGTTCTTGTTTGACGGCCACATCATTCAAGACAGAGACACGCCGGCGCTCCTTCAGATGCTTAATGGGGACGTCATTGAGGTCTATCCGCCACAGGATGGCGGTGATGCCGGTGCCGACGATGGCAACCACTTCCAGACGGTGTCCACCGTTTAAGACACTTATCTCTTATGCATTTTGGGTTCAATTATTGTTTTAGATTTTCTAGTATTGAATGTGTTTTTAATTTTGAGTCCAGAAATTGAATTAAAATTATTTTTATCACAAAATTTGTATTCATTTGTATTAATATTAATATTCAGTAAACAATTCATAACTATTTGAAAGTATGTGTGAATTATATTCAATAGTTTCTAATGTTTAGCAAATGTTTCATAAATTTGTTATACTTTACGAAATGTTTTATATTAACTTAATACCGGGGTAATTTTATTTCACACCAAATTGTGTATACCCTGATAATTTATTTTTCAACCCGCTTGGCGACCCATCCATACGCCTGTTCGCGGGCATACCGGTGCCATTGTCTGCCAACCGGTCGACTACTGACCCCATCAGCGAAATCTGACGCACTTTGAGACGGAGACACAGGTATGCGATCAGTCTGTAGACCACTGCCTGAGCGATCAGTTTTTGCCAACTCATGGCATACATGTAGTCGTGGTATT